CATTTCATGAACCGCAGAAGTTAAGCTCTGTCAGTTTCGGTGTTGAGCGGTGTGCCTTTCAGGATGTCCAGCCAACGTTTGTTCGATAGCCAAGTGATGCTGGACAACGACTCTGTGCTGTTCGACAGCCAGGTTGATCCAGGGACTTGGGCAGCGGGGCGCACGTTGGCTTCACCGGTTGTGCCTGCTGCTAGTTCTACTGCAGTGCACCAGACTGGCCTGAAGCGCAAGAATGCATGCCTGGAATGGGAAGGCGATTTTCCAGACACCCAGGTAGAGCTGTATCCGCCGCCTACTATCGTGAATATCAACGAGGACCCAAGCCCAAAACCGAAACCCCGCAATGAGGTGGCTGAGAAGTCCTCAGAAAAGTCCTTGCAAGAACAGCTAGAAGCCTCCCAGTCGAAGGTGAGTGAGCTGCAGGAACTGAACAGAACTCTGCACTCCAAAGCCGCGGAGTTAGCACAGCAGCTGGTGCAAGTGATGGAGGAAAAAACAATCTTCTGGCTGAGAAGCATGCGAAGATGATCGCTGACTTGAGGGTGATGCGTTCTGCCCGCGAAGAGCTTGACGAGCTTTTGGATCTTAATTTTGATGACGACGACGATCAATGCTGAGAAGCAGTTCCTGAGGCTTGGCCTTGAAGTTTCTGTTGCCGTCCTGGCTGCTGGGGAGCTTTTTCAGCCAATGCAGTTTTTGGCCACGGGCCGCAGACTTTTCATTCAGGGCAGCAGGCTCAGGGTGCTACCGCGAAGGCTTCGCGATGCGCCCAGTGCCAGCCGCCTTGAAGAAAGAGGCTCATGGGTAGTATGTATACGGCTAGAAAGGCAGGGGAATGCAGGGGACTACAGAAACCAGGTGCTCCGAGCGTGAGTGTCGGAACAGTGGAAAAAGAGGACCTGAGCTTGTGTAGTTTCTGAACGGTAATAGGGATGTGTTATGGGCCTTGTTAGGGAGGGTTTTGGACTGGCGAGGGCTTGTGCGTGCTACCAGAAAAGGACCGATTTTGTTTCAAGGGGACGTGTTTTTTTTGGTTGGGAAAACGCAGCTTTTGAGTGAACGGTTTAAACCCTATTAGAACGAATGCAATTTTTCTAAAACGGTTCATAACCTTTTTTTATTTCGACCCCGTTTGCAGCAAGGGTTAACGCCCCCCGGGCCTAGATGAATCACTTATAAAGCAGGCTGCGAACTCATGGAGTGCAAAGAGCAAAGAAGTGCGCATCCGCATTGCTGCAATGATCCGAGAAACTGGATTAGTGCTTGCAAACTGGGCGTGCGCCGCGTTGAGGGCGCGCGGAGGGCTCGCGTGTTGTTGGGGAGTGCGCTGTCGCGCTCAGGAGCTGCCAGGGAGCGCCTGCCATGGATCGAAAGCTCGGCTGTTGGAACTCATGAGCTGCTGGAAGGAAGCTTGTGGCTGCTGGAAGGAAACTTGTGAGCTGCTGGCGAGCTGCTGGAAGGTGGCATGAACCCTTCATAACATCCTTTGCCTGGGTTGCTCTTTAATCGACACTCTCGAACGAATACTTTTTTGGTTTTCTCGATGGGCAGCCACGCCAAGGCTTTGTTTTTGCAGGAGAAGGCTGCTGATCCTGTCCCGTGAGCTGCTGGAAGGAAGCTCGTGAGCTGCTAGAAGGAAGCTCGTGAGCTGCTGGCTGCTGGAAGAAAGCTTGTGAGCTGCTGGAAGAAAGCTCGTAAGCTGCTGGAAGGAAGCTTGTGAGCTGCTGGAAGGAAGGTCGTAAGCTGCTGGCGAGCTGCTGGAAGGAAGCTCGTCAGCTGCTGGCGAGCTGCTGGAAGGAAGCTCGTGAGCTGCTCACAAGTACCGCGCCCCCTAAAGCCCCTTTAAATCCCGTTTTGCAAGCACTTCAGAGCCCCTAAGATCGTTAGAGCTGCGGGACGTCGGCCCGCGAATCGACAGTGCTCGAAAGTACCGAATTCAGACCCATGTCTCGAACTTAGGCCTGTAGCTGACACAGAGTGGAAAGCTGGAACACCCTCCCTAGAGAGAGCCAGCACATATCTCACATGCACGCTCCGACTCTGTGAGTGTCATGGTGCCATCAAGATGACGCATTTATTGCTGAACAGCTCGGCCATCTGACGAAGTCCGCACACTGCAGCAGTCTCGTTTGCCAATTTACCTCTGTTGTTTTCTTTTGTTCCTTTGTTTGCAGTTTCCTGGGACGGTGCTGCAGCCGCAGCCAACGACACCAACCTGAAAAAAAAGAAATCATCTTTGTCCATTGCTGTGTTGCAAGCCCGGTTTGAGTTTTTTGTCTTTTTTTGTGCAATGTTTGTTAAAGAAATCACACCATCGGATGCTCCATGCCACCTTAAAGGCAACTCCGTGATTCATCTGTGTGCATAGCATTTGTTTTCTTGAAAATGTCAAAATTGAGTATCCGCTACATGGTTCGGTGATGGTGACGCGGAGTGATGTCTGTGAAAGTGATGTGATCAACGAATTCCGCGATGGCACACCCAACCCATGATTTTCTACCACTCATGGAAATGAATCGACGGCCCTGTTAGTTGCGGTCTTTGATGACATTCGTCACCATGGCACTCGAATGAAGTGTCTTGGTTTAACTCGCAAAGCGAAGAAGCTGCGAAATCCGAACTATCTTGAATTGAAGCCTAGTGAGTTTGTAACTTGAGCAAATTTCCCACATGGAATACATTGATTTAGAATGTATGTGAGCGTTCGAAATGTTTTCCAACTTCATATAAAAGTTTCGCATTTGCCAAACAACCAGCCTCTTGATTTTGGGCTGTACAAACCAGACCAGCGCTTCGGATAGGTGGGTCCAGACCGGACCTTGAACCTCGCGTTTGCAAACAAAACGAAGCAGCCAAATTCTCAGCCCGTTCAGCAGATAAGATCTACGTTATGCAGTTGAGCTTCTCCATGCAATGTGGAAACCACGGCGTTCACAACTCTAATAGACGTGATATCAGAAACAGACCAGCAGCGTGCTTTGCGCGTTTGCCATATGTGATTCGAACTTGCTTCAGAGTGGTAAGTTGGAAAACTCGTTTTGCCATGTGTTTCGTCGGCAGTTTGACTTGTAGCGTGCATAGGAAAGCAGCAGCACGCAACAAAAACGGTTTTTTGGTGCTAACGAGGGTTCAAATTCATGATCGATCTTTGGGTTGTTGAAGTTTTTTAAGCCTTAACATCCGAACCGAAGAGCATAAACCACTAATTCGGCGGGCCTTTTCCAGGTCCCTGCGTCCCCGCATTTTCTGAGTTTTGGCAGTTGTACCCAGATTTTCGATCTTTAACACCGTCATACCCTGATTTTTTTTGATGTGGCAAGCGCAGCGCACCCCAAGGGCCGTGCAGGTGCTATAAGGTGGAGCGAGTGCATAGATAGAAGACCCAACAATCGTCTGATGTCATAGCAAGGTTCTTCCAAGTTTGTCCGGTCATTAATTATTACGGTTCCGTTTCGGCTCAGTTGCAGGCCCAGCTCGTTTGTCAATTCAAGACCAACGGTTTGATTCGGTTTGGACTGTTGGGATTCTCCACAAAAAGTTTTGGTTCGATTTAAGTCTTGAATTCTAGTCAAAGACGAATTTGTTGCAGGCACATCGTTCACAAACCATGGCTCTCTTCCGTGTGGGCTTTGCCCACAGGGCCATGATTCGATCCAAGCTTTCATCGATGCGTGGCAGAATCTCCCAAATCGCTACCTCACACGAGGCCGAAAGGCCAACGCCACTACAGATGCGACGGCTTTTCGTCATCTCAGCAGTTCCATTTGTGGCATTTGGAATCGTGGATCAAAGCGTTCTACTCTACGCGGGCGATGCAATTGACAACACTTTGGGAGTTGCGCTGGGCCTTCCCACACTCGCCGCTGCAGCTATGGGCCAGGTCATGAGCGATACCTGTGGGGTTGCCTTTGGTGGGACCATCGAAGCAGCAGCATTGAAGCTTGGCTTGCCGTTACCGGGTCTCACAGAAGCGCAACAGCGTTTGGGAAGCGTCAAGCGGGTTTCCACGCTTGGTGGTGTTTGCGGGGTAATTTTGGGCTGTTTCATAGGCATGGGAAACTTGTTGCTGATCGACCTCAAGGCGGCAGAACGCGCAAAGAAAGAGAAGGAACTTGCCAAGATCATGAAGACCGTCATGGAAGATGGTCGTGCAGTGTTGCACTGTGACAGAGCAACGCTCTGGGCTGTCGAAACAGAGGTCGGTGAGCTGTGGAGTACGTTTGCAGATGGCATCCAGGGCACAATGCGCATCCCGAAGTCGGAGTCAAGTTTGGCTGGATGGGTCGCTTGTAACAAAGAATTGGTAAACATTCCGGATGTGACGCAAGATCCCAGGTGGACCAAACCGTCGAAAATGAACTACGCGACAAAATCAATGTTGTGTGCACCAGTGGTTTTGGACGGTAAAGTAATTGCTGTCATTCAGCTTCTCAACAAGCTGGACGAGAAAGGGGATGTCGTTCCATTTGATCAATCAGATGCCAGGGCCGTCAAGATGATGGCCGGTCACACTGCTATGTTCATGGCGCAGCTGTTGTAGCACTTATTGCTCATCATGTTTCGAGATGCGCCAGCTTGTAGATTATTTGCGTTTCCGGTTGGGAACCGTAACATCGCTTAACAGGCTTTTCCAGCCACAGAAATGTGGTGGCCTGAGCCAACGAGGATCAATTCGAACCTGCCGAGGAAGAGCGCCTGCAGTGGTTTAGAATCGTGAAGCTGTCGTCCAGGCCTGCAGGTAGTGATGGCATCGCAGAGTCACGCCGTTGATGCTGATGATCGTTGAGATGCATCGGGCCCATCAGCTCGGTTTTCTGTCAGCTGCGCATGGTTGCTTCTGCTTGTGCACTTAACCTGGGACATGCTGTATCTACATGGAGTCGGGATGAATGCAGCAGCTACTTCCTGTGTCGAGCTGCCAGTGTTCTATTCATTGGCCTCCTGCAAGTTGCCGCTTCTCCGTGTTGGTCGTTACTCTGTAGAAATGCAACTGTGCCACGATGCTTTGTCATCGAGCCGCAGCATACCGTCTGACCTATGCCTGATGCTAAGCTCCACAATGCTCTGCTTCCTGTGTTTAGGATATAATGTGGCGCAGCGCGAAAGTTAGCAATGAGGTGTTGTGATCCGAAACCTGCGTTTGGAGAGTGGGCTTCAGTCTTTCCAACATGAGGTCGTGTGCGCTTCTGGTCCTGCGACGAGGCCTGACGCGCCATGTTGAAAAGATAAAGATTTGGACAACGTCCCGCTCAAAATGAACCTGTTCCAGGCAAGTGCGGTGGCGACAGTGGCTGTTCCCGCAAGCTACAAAGGCAATGTCGGGATGCCGGATGCCGAGTGTCGCTCGTCTCCCATGACCATGACGAGGGCTGGCGGCCTGAACGGTTTGAACATGAAGGCCAAGCACTCCAGTTCGCAAGACAGTCCCGGCCCTAGCTCCTTACACCTTTGTCATTTCCGGTAGGTCATGTGACCATTAGGTCAAAGCGCATTCCCATCTGGAAGCTGGGATGGGCCATGGCCTATCAGCGCGTTTCTTGTGACAGACAAGTCAACGAAGAGCAGGTGCATGCATGTTTGACCGCATAATGTCTCGGCTTCCAGGGTGATCTAGTTTGTGTGTCACCCCTTCAGTCTGAAATGAAGCCATTTACGTGCTAGCTGCTAGCCGGCCGAAGAAGGCTGTGACTGATTTTGCCATTTTGACAGCTTTCGCCCTCGATGGTTCGGTTTACGTTCTCCAGGAATGGCAGCCCGGACCGACCCGTTCCTCACGGATGTCGAGGCCACATCCATTGTTTTGAGCATGCGCTGCCCACGTTGACCCCGTCTGATGTTTTCTGCAACAGCGAAACTTGTAGCACTTGATGTGACCTTACCTTTCTGGTTGTTGCAATGACTATGATCTCGAGCCTTATCGAAAAATCGAAAGGTCCTACTGTGTGTACCCATGCAGCTTTGGTGCCTCCACCAGCCGTTCCAACCAGGTTCCGGATTACAAGGCCACGGCATCGCAAGTCGAAGCAGCCCGTCGCGAGCACATGGCAGATGGCTTAGCATTTGCAGAGAGGTGCAACGGGAGGGAGCAGAAATCAAGACATGGCACTGCTCCTCAGGTGAGCCAAGAGGTTGCCGTGCTTATCTTTGTGCCATGGTCATGCTATGCCTGAACCTTGGTATGAAATGCTTCAGTGCCAGTGCTGTTTGGATGTAGCTGGCAGCCTGCTAAATGATACACAGAGGTTTTCATGGTGCTCGCCTTCGCCTTGCCCCCGTCAGGCCGTTGTCTTAGGGCTGAATCATTGGCACTGAACGTTGACATGTTCACGCTACTGCAAGATCGTCCACCGTCGCCGGATTCGAAGATGATAAGACGAAGAAAATCACGAGATGTAGACTAGAAGGCACGACAGGCCGAGGGGGACCCAGTCTTGGGTCGTCGGCACCCGGAGCGGCACGCCAATTGGGAGCAAGTGCAGTGACCGCAAGCGAAGCGAAGTAATGTCCAGACTGGACCCCAAAACTTCAACTGGCTATCAGCCCACAATTTCAGTCAGCAGAGCCAGAACAGCTCCAAGATTGGCAACAAGAAAAGCTCAAGCAGAAAGCCAAACCACGACTTCCCTCAGTCCTGCAAGTATACAGAAAAGGAAAGGCAGCCCGGCATTCAGGGCTGCGTTGTGCTGCATATGGTCAATCAGGCAAACCTGTCCAGGGTCAGACGCATCTCGAACTCTTTCAAGCACGCGTGCGTAAATCTTGGAAGAGCATGCTCGGTCTGATGTTGACGGGGTAGTGGTTGACGATGTTGACAGACATCCTGAAAGCAGAGGCATTTCTAAGTCTGCTGCTGTCACCCATAGAAATAGTGCAGCCAACTGATTATCAACAATGCATTGGCAGGATTCCTGTGGAGCCTGTTGGCTGGGGTATCCTGGCTTGCCAGCCTGCTGGTGGCACGTGCGGTGCTTGGAATGCCAGTGCGTTCCGTGCAGGGATGCCAGACGTGTCAGGATACTGCAGAAAACACCGTAAGCTGCGACCGAGTTAGAAAAGCATGTTTGACACTGTTGCGCGTAACGCATGGTAGCATCTCAGGCCAAGCCTACGAGAGACATCTCCGAGGAGCCAGCCCAGTTTACAAGCTGCTGGCCCTGATGGTGCCTTTGGAAACCCCATTACAGCAGATTCGGGCGTACTCTTCCATACAAGGTAGCAACCTGTGTGTTGATCCCAGGTGCTGTTGAGCTGCGTGGCAGGGCCACTGGTTGGAGCTCACATCGAACAGAGGAAGATGGCCAGCTATTGGATGCACAAAACAGGCGCAACTTACCGCGATGTGGCCAGGAGCTTAGACGGTTTTAGATGTCTTCGGCTCTGGCAGCAGCCTTGTGCAAGTCCAGGTTCCGACCAAGCCGTCCGATGCGTACCAGGATGCAAGCATTCTGGACTTCTCGGCCTCGAGATCGCAGCAAGTGCGTGCGCATGTTTACACCCTCTTGTAATGGCAGCAAGATGCCGGCTCGATGCCCTCCGACCAAGGCCAGCGCACGCTTGGACCTTCAGAGAACTCTCGGGATCCGCTCTCCGGGCTCCGGCATGACTTATTGCGTCGCGCCAGTGATTGCCGCTTGTCACACGTAATGGCTGGATGTGTCAACTGGTGTCGATGTTCAGTTTTGATTGTCTCTCTTCTTCGTCAGGATACCTCATCATCAACAAAACAGGTGAACTATTTCGCAGCCGACGTGAATTGCTGTGAGCCACGTCGCAGTTTCCTTTGCGGTGATACCGCGAAGGCGGATGCCAGGACCATGCGAATGTCCATGCCTTCACGATTTGTCTCAAGCTTGACATCGGGCGAGGACTGGGGTGGTTCTGCCCGCGAAGTCTTCTCAGCATGCTGCAGACAGGCGGTGTCGGGAGGGGGAGGGCGGAACGGCGAGTCTTCTCGTGCGATGGCTGGTGTGGAAGGTGGCAGCACTTCTTCAAGGCCGCTCAGCAGGCTGCGGAGGCGGGTCCCTTGCTTCTGCTAGTCCTCAGCAGGAATGTAGGACAGATTCGCAGCAAGATAGGGTGAGGTCTATGGCTGGGATCTGCCTGATCGACCTATATTCGTGCGTTGGTTTGAAGATGCCGAGGGTGCGGGGATCTCAGGCTGAAGTGAGGAGAAGTTGGTGAAACAGATTTTGGAAGTCTTAAAGCCCAGCTAAGGTTCAGTCAGAGCTTCTACACCAGGGTTTGGTGGAGGCCAGACCTGCAGCTAGTGTCCAAAAGAAGCTCCTCGTAAGCCCATGAGCCCTGGGCAGACCTTCGTCCAGTGCTTTGCGGGACTGTGCGCCGCGGTGATTGTGGCCATGCTGCTCGTCACCAGAACTCTTCATCTCGCCTTTGGCGCTGCACATTCCATGGTAGCCTACTGGTGCACGTTCTGCCTCGTCAAGGTGGCTGCACTGGTCCTTGTCCTACTATGTGCAGGACAAGAGAGCTGATCGCAGCAAGATGAAACGTTGAGACTGTCCAGTGGCAATTGCTGCATGTGACGGTTAATATACTCGCAGCTGGAGCAAGCGCGAGTTTTCCGCATTGTGTGGCCGGGCCTGATCCGACGCCGTCGTGGCGGAAAATTGTTTCGCAAGGTTGGTGTTGGTGGATGCACTGACATCGGCTCTCTCTTGCCTTGGAGCTTTTGAGGCCACATCCATCTCAAGGAGCTACTTGGAGAAGGCGAGAGACAGAAGGGACGATCGAAAGGGACGATCGAAAGGCGGGAAGAGCTGAGGTGGAGCAGGGTGAAGCCAGGCTCCTGCCCGAGTGCCGTGAGGAGTCACCGAGTGTTTGCAGGTGAGTCAAAATCAGAAGATGCTGCCAGCGTTTCTCCTAATTGAAGGAGCTGGAGCGTGTGCTTGGGGTGCCGCTGAAGCGGCGGCGCAAATCACGATTAGCCACTTGGATGTCAGAGCTTCGGGGCAAAGGGGCCTGTGACAGCTCAGGTTCTGTCGCGGACTATTAAATATCCACAAAGCAGTCCGCGAGAGTTTCAACCGTCACGTGCGCAAGTGCCCATAGTCGTAACTGAGGACAGAACGCCTTGACAACCGCGTGGAGCCACGCCAAGAAGCGTCGTCTCGTCGACAAAGAAGCCACGTGTGCAACAGCACTTAGGCTTGCTCTGCATGCCGGGTGGCACGTGTACGAAGGCATCGTATTTCCTTGCACCCCGATCCTGTCTCCCGCTGCTTTGCTGTTTCAAGCTGCGGGGCGCAGTGGTTCCCATCGCAGCTGCGTGGTCCTCGAGGGCTCAGGCCGAATTGTGCATCAAGCGGTGTGAGACGTGATCACGTCTGAGGCTCTATGTGCGCCTGAGAAGCGGAAGCCCCAAAGCTTCTCGCGCAACCTTCGCTTAAAGTAGCAGCTAGGAAAGCCGGTGTGGTGTCAGGCTGGTGAGCATCCTCAAATCAACTCGGAAGGAACCTCATCAGCTACACTACCCGGCAGGGAGTAGTTCGCACCGTTGTCAGATCCCTTGGCGGTGCTGATCGGCTCTGTAAAGTCCACGACTACATTCTTGTCGGGGGATCTGACGACTCTGCTCTGACAGACTGAATAAGAGCAGAAGATGTACCGCCGCCGTGTTTTGGGAGCTACACTCAGCGAGGTGGGCTTGTGTGCACCAACGAATGTTTACAAGCAGAGCAGCAGAGTTGATTTTGAGAGCAGGCGGGGTGCCAAGAGCCCCACAGCTCGCACAGCTCGCAATCTCGCGATGGATATGAGGAGTCGGAGAAGAAGGCCTGCCCCCGACGGCTTCCGTGTGCATGCGCATGCATGCGCGTGGTTCGAAGTAAGGCCTTTTATGATGGTTGCCCGACCAATGCGCAGGGCGCCGGAGGAGGCTTTCAGGGATTTTTGGCTGATTTTGCTGCATATCTGGTGCTGGGACGATTCGTGTAGGATCCCCGAGCAGCACTTGGAGCCGATGCTCGAGGGCGTCCTGGAGCTTCGGGCCACTCGGCTTCCCTTCGAAACTGCCCGCTTCCTGTCGCATCCCGTTCCCGCTTTCTCTCTGAGGTGCGGCACGGACCGCTGCACTCAGCCAGGCAGCCACATGCAGAGCAGAGCTTGAAAGTTCTTGGCATGACATGGGCCTCCCATGCAGGAGCGGCAAAGACACAGCGAAAGCAAGCGCGAAGGATACCCTGCAGCTTAAGGGAATCAGCTAGCGTAAGGGGCTGACCTGACCACACAGTGAGCTGCTCGCAAAACAAGCAATGTAGGCGCATCGGAGGGTCTGCTTCAGGATCTTGAGGTCGAAGTCACGCTATGCAGGATGCTACATCGCTTGCACCGCTGCATGGCCCGATCTGGTCCCAAGCTGAGAGAATACCCATCTGATGCATGTGGGTGCTGATCTTGTCCCGTGCAAAATCACATGGGCTCAAAATCTCTACTTGTCTAAGGTGTGGTGGCATTCTCCTTTTCGGCATCGGCTCTTCAGAGAAGGATGGATTCTTTCGCAAAGTTGGACGAGGCACAGAAACCACGTGAGCTGTTGCCTGCAGAGAATCCTGACATGGCTGCAGGTTTCCAAGTTCAAGAGTCGTCGTGCTGCAGAACGATCGTTGGGAGCAGGCAGCAGGGACAAAAGCACACTTCCCGCAGTCTACTGCTGTATGCAGTGCTCACCAGTTGCCTCAAGACAGAGGCTTGGGGCTTCAGTTGTCGGTGTATGGTGCTGTCGCAACATCTGTGTCAGGCAGCTCTCTGTCTTCAGCATGCAGGCACGTTGAAATGTTCCGTGCGGTCAGTTGATCACGGTCGCATCGCAGTATGGCGCTCGTAGACAACTGTTGACTGGTGGGAAACTTGCAGGTACGTGTCCTGCTGCATTCGCTCTCTGCTCAGAACTCGAATGAGCGGAGGGCGGAGGGAGGGGCCACTAATGCTAAAGGCTCAAGATGAGATGCTCTCGGGCATTCTGTCTGGCCAGGGAAAGTTTGGGCGCATGGCCTGGGGTTTCTAGTTCTGGAAGCCTGCGGCAACATTCAATAAATTCAATACCTGCCAGAATTGGAGGCCAAGGAATTTTTGAATCATGCGGTGCAAGTCGCATCTGTCAAGAGGCTCGCACCTGGTGCACCTGGCAGCTCTCCTGTCAGTCCTCATGCAGACGGTCCAGGAGGCTTCTTGCAACGGTGGGTCTTGCTGTGTATCGCGCGATTGCCCGTAGGAACAAGTTTCAGCGGGTGACCGAGCAGCAGCAGCTTTTTGGCTCGACCGCATTTTCGACTTTTGGTCTTTCCCCTCTCGCCCTCCTCACATGGCCGACAACTGGGCTGATTTCGGCCTCACCTTTGGTGGTGAGCCTTCTTCATCGCCGTCGCCTTCGGCTTGCTGCGGCTAGTGGCAGTTGGGAAGTACCACCCGCCCCTACGTCTGGGGACGACCCCTTCAATCGCCTTGTCGGAGGGGGTGACTGGGGAGGATTCGCCTCGGAAAAGTTGTTTGAGCAGGCGCTTGCGGAGGATCCGGATGCGGGCAGGGGCGGTGCTTCTTTGTCCTGACCCTAAGCATCCGAAGACCTCAAATGTGACCATGTTTGCTAAGACCTCAGAATCCAAGGCCTTTAGTGTAAGTGCTGGAAATACAAGGACTTGGACAATCATGTAAGTTGAATGAAATGCATGTCAATATATATGATGTATAAAATGTATTCAATCCAGGAAATGCATGTCATTCCCTGTATTTCTCAATATTCATATGTTGATATACAGGTCAAACAATCAGTATATATGGTCCAAAAAATGTGTTAATAGGTTTGTTTGTTCTTTCCGAAATGCTTTAAAAATTATTCATATCCGATGCAGATTCGCTGAAAAGATCAGAAAGATCAGTAAATAAGTATGTAAAATGAATCAGTCGTAGAATACGTTTGCAAGTTCTTTCCCAAATGCTTTGAAGATTATTCATATCCGATGCAGATTCGCTGAAAGGATCAGAAAAATCAATCAATAAGTATGTAAAAAAATCAGTCCTAGAATAAGTTTCAAGGTTATTTCCCAAATGCTTTGGAAATTATTCATATCCGAAGCAATATATATATATATATATATATATATATATAAACGTCCAGCATTCTTTCGAACTTCTTTTCCTGGCTTTGCAAACCCGAAGGTAGGCCTTAGGCCGTGGGCACGGGTTTTATTCCCGGTGGGTGCCCCACAAATTCTGGTGAAGAAGACTTTGGCCAGCTCAAACCTCCACCTCAGGGAGAGTACAGTGTTCAGGTTCAGGGCTCAGGGTTTAGGACTGAAGGGTTCAGGCCATATATATATATATATATATATATTTATTTAGAGAGAGAGAGAGAGAGCTGTAGGGTTGCCGGGCCTGGGTCTGGTTCACGAGTGGCATGTCTTGGATGAGCCGATCCAGTTGAGACATGCTGGGCTCCTCCATTCTCTTGATGTCGTCATCTTGGATAAGGCTCCGAGGGAAATATATGTATATATCTATATATACATAAATTAATTCAGCTAAAGGCGAAAGCTCCTGCTATGTATATATATAGATAGGCTTCACAAGAACCATTGTATTATTATAATTATAATCAGTTCATATGGCATATGTATTTACATATTTATATATCTGTCTGTTTCTTATATATTTATTATATATATATATATAATATGCAGCCTAGCGACAGAGGTATGGGACCATATTCCCGAAGCACAACAGCAGCTCGTCGAGGGCCATGACGATGTCGCATAGCTTGTGCTCCAGTGCATAACCCATAGCGGATTCGAGGAAGCGGTCGCATGTCCTCAGATGCCGAGAAACAAAAATCTTGTCATCTTAAGCTCCACCCGCAAGAAATACAAAACGGAGAATATGTCAGAAAGTTGAATAGTTATTGATAAAGGTTTGATTTCACGTGACAAGGTCACAAACAACATATATATATATATATATATATTTATGTATAATATTATGTATAATTAATAATAATAATACTATATATATATGTATAAATATAAATATATATATTTATTTATTTATATTTATTTATTTATATATTCTATATATATATATATATTGATATTAATGTATATAAAAAGAATCATATATTATACTCATATATCTATATATATTATATGAGTGCTTGGCCAGATTCTCTGGTTTCGACATGCCCGTGAGGGCTACCACCGTTGGGCAAGTCACTCTCGTCAGGAAGCGATTCACCCACTTGCCGTGAGGCGTATAGTTGCCCATGGCAAGCCAATGCAACCGGTCCTTCTCTGCAATTGGCAGTCCGTGTACCAACACTGTCATCCTGTCCCAGCCATGCCGTTCCAGGTCGTTGACCGCCTTTGCAGCTCTCGATCCCCAGCCGAGCAGCTCCATCTTCACCATCCATGTTGGCCCTGCCATGCCGAGAGGTAAGAGTGGGAAAAACCTCAAGGCACCAAAATTTAATTAACTGCTTGAGCATCATATATTTGCATGTAAGCAGGCATGTGACACTTCAGTCCTGCTGCAGCCCCCCGTGAGTGAACTGACTGCATCCGAGGGGTTTGGGGTTTAGGCTTTAGGATTCACGGGCAGGGGTTTAAGGTTTAGGGTTCAGGGCTTCAGGGTTTCGGGTTCAGGGGTTTGGGGTTTTGGGTTTAGGGTTTACATCTATATATATATATATACATAGATACATATATGTATATACATATACATATATATATATATATATATATTTCAGGAAGTCTCGGATGCAGGAGAACTGTTTTCACGAGCTCGCTATCTGCTCCGGAGCTCTCGTTCATGCACGTGCAAGCATGGCCCGCCAGTGCCGTCAGTGACCTTGCATCAAAGCCTGCAGTCGCAGCAACTGCTTGGAGAGGATCTGATTCTCGACCGTGCTTCGATGCGAGGATTTGGCAATATCCACAGCCACTCCAAGAGCCCCCTCTTCAGCATACGTATGGAAAAACCTGAAGTTATAACTTCAGCTGCATATTAGCTGGACTGAAAATACATATAACAAACTCATATATATATATATATGGTAGTCGCTGGAATATATATATATATATATATATGTATATGTATCTACCAGCTACAAGATATGTTATCACTTATAAACAGTCGCACCATGAAAGGAATTGTCCTTGAGTAATATATATATATATATATCATCCTCGTAGCGGGTCTCGGCAAGCTCCATGACCATGTGCTGCAGCATGTGGTGCTTCGGTCTCAGGCTCCACATAAACCTTGGGCAGGGTAGAAGTACTGAAATTTTTAAATAGATGGATACCAACAAAATAAAAAATGTGGGGAGAGAGACAGAGAGAAAGAGAGAGATAAATATATAAAAAGACACAGACCCAAAACTCTTTTCACATAGAATTAGACAGAATATTAATCAGCTGATACAGGTGCGGGGTGGTGGAGGTGGCTGCACAGTGCATATAGGTCTCCAGGAATCGAAGGCCCAGGCTGCGGATTTCCACGGCTTCCTCGGCATCGATGGGGATTCATATATTATGTGTCATGCACTTAATATATATATATATATATATATTTGTTAAGATGCAGCTTTATTGTATATTAACACATATATATATGTATACATATGTTATACATTACATACTATTTAGCATATGTACTTTATTATATATTATTACTATTTCAGAATTATTATTACCATTATTATCATATAATTATTATATCATTATCACTATCATATATATATGCATATATCTATAAAGGTATAGTTTAAATAATATATAGATATATGTATATATATATGTAATATATCTTTTATACTATATATAACGAGTATACATATATATATATATATATATATATCATATTCCAAAGTTTGACAGAGAAGCCTCCTCCGTCAAGAACCTGTTGCCTTGCTCCACACGGTTGTACAGCTCCGACAGGAGATGCAC